TTACTGCACGAGGACTTTCTCAGATAATGTTGAAAAGAAAAGAATTGTGCAAAAAAAGCGGACACCATCCTATATTCTAGTCAAGATTACGTGCATTGTATATACATTTTAATCCCTAAGGGACGACGTGTATTACATATGATACACGATTGTTTGAAGACCTTTCTCGCTGGATAGAAGTTATTCCACAGAAATTCGGTGATTATGAGAAAGCTTAAGTCTCTGCAAATTCAACGATATGTTTTATTTTTGAAAAAAAAACTTTTATTACGTTGCAGCAACGAAAATAAAACTCTGTTTCGCAGTCAACTCCCTTCATTGGCTTTCGAAATAGCTCTTCACCAAAGTCTTACTATTCATTCGATAACCCAAATCTCAAGGATTTTGACCATATATTTGGTTTTTTTAATAGTTATCATAATACGCAGTGAGAGAAAAGAGGATTCTCTTTTTCGCCTAAGTTGATTCCCCTCCTGCTAGACGTTATAGATAGCTCACGGATAATGATAGGTAAAGTTTATACGTCAGAGATATCTTATCTTTACAAACTTTTAGCACTTTATTGGACCCACCATCACAGTGCCTTTTTTCACTGTGCAGATCCCATTAATTGTAGCATTCAATTCGCTTGATCGTCTTCTTTTGAACGGCGCAGAACACTGGTTAAGCGAGTCTCTTTGCAATGTTAGAGATAGCTTGGCTGTGGCGTTCCATAGGACGTTGTTGTTGCCTGCCAAAGAGAGTTCGAAGGGGTGGGGTGGAGCTCGGCATCACGCGCGCCTCGAAGCGCATTACAAACGCTCGGCTACGCCGCCCTCGTTGTTACAAAAAGGGTGGAGTGTCACGAATGAACGTTTTATAAACGTTATTTTTGGTATAAAGAGCAATTAGTGTTGAAAATCTTCATTTTCCGCGGTAAGATTACATCCTTCTGAGAAAACAAACTTCCAACCCTTCTTATGCATTTGTATCGCATCTCTTGCATAAACGCAGTTTGAAAGCGCATATTCTACAACTAGGTACCTTTTATAGAGTTTTGTGTGGAAGTAATTGTAGTACTTAGTTGGACGAAGTGGAAGAAGAGCGCGAGTTCAGCATTGCGGAGAATAGAAGGTACTTTATCCTATCCTTACCTGCACCCATTTTCAGAAAAGAAACCGTATTTTTCATTCTTTTAATCATTCGACAATACGGATATCGAGGATTTGAACGTCCTATTTTATTTTCTGAATGATTTTCATGTTTTCCTGTGAAGGTAAAAATAAAATTGTATTTCACACTCAAGCACCTTTCGCTGGATACAGTTATTCATTTAGATTTTTTATAACCACTCTATAGGATGAATCTCAGGGATTTTAATGATAAGCTTGATTTTAAGAAAAGTATTTTAATGCGTTTTTAGAGCTAAAAGTAATTAAATTTCGCACTCGGCGCCGTGTCGCTTACGCAGCGCAATTCACATGTGGTGGGCGAGGGCACCATGCGCGCCAAGTGCGAAACTCAATATTCTTCTAGCTTACAACGCACTAAGAAGTCTTTCTTGAAAACAAAACAAATCATTGAAATTGCTGAGATTTGTGGTATCGAGTAGTTGATGAAAGTCTGAAATAAATGCTGTGTCCAGCAAAAAATTCTTAAGATTGTAAAATAATTTTATTCTTGCTGCGACAGCGCTCGAAGATTTTTTTTAAAAAAACAAGCACAACATTGGAATTTTCGAGATTCAAGCGATCGACTAATAGTGAAGGTGATGGCTTGATGCTAATGTTTTGAAATCCATCCACATACCGACGCAAAGTATGCGCCGCATTTCAAATGGAGTCTTAGCTTATGTGTTACTGCGCAATCAAAAGTTTTTTCTTTTGGAAACGAGAACCACCATTCAAGTTGACGAAATTCCTTGCCATCGAACAGTTGCTGAACTTTTTTAGGGAAAAGCTTTGTTTACAGAATGATGCATGAGGGTAAAATATAGTTATAATCCTACTGTAACAGCGTAATGTAAAGGACGTTTTGAAAAGAATTAGTGCACCGTTTATATTCTAAAAAATTGAGTATATAATGCCTATTAATATGTTTGAAAAAACAAAAAATTAGTTCCTTTGAATATGAGTGCGCATGAGAGAAAAGTAGCGAATACTTCTCTAGAGACTCGTAACTCTGAGTAATAGTTTGCATAATGTTGATGTTCCAGGCCTTTTACTCAGACACAATTGTACCTACACTCTCAGAAACCTTCCACTATGCATAAGTTCTCAACTTTTTCTTACATACCGCAACCCTAGATGATTGGAAATAAACGAATGACTGTTATAAACAGCTATAGTGAGAGATTTCGATGAACTGTTATCGCATACAGCATGCATCATTATTTTTTGATAAAATGTTCATTGTATTCTAATTTTATTCACTATGATGACTCCTATGTTTTGCATAAAATTACGGAAGATCAAAACTAAAGATTTCCATTGTGACATTCCTTGTACAATGCCATGCAATTAATTGATTGCCAAACTCAGTATGACTGAGTAGTAAATCAACCTTTTTCTCTAGGTCATCTATCTAAACCAAAAGCATATGGATGGGTAGAGAAAACCTTTTTCAGCAAAGTATTGCAAGTATTCCAAAAATTTTTGCCGGAGAAAAAAACCTTAATCAAACAACGAACATCTCTCAATCCGCTCTGCGCGCTCGATTTTTATAGGAGTCCCTTAAGGGTTAACGAGCATCACTTATTTGGAGTTATTGCGAAGAATATACATCGATCGATAACAAATTGGAATAAATAACCGCCTAGCTACCAAGGAGGTCCAAATGTCGAGTGATTTTTAGGTGTGAAATGTTCTCATATATTCAAACCATCGCCGCGGTTGTGAAGGCTTCAAGTTTTTGCGTCATTATGTTCTATAAGGGAATGATTTTTAGAATTTATATATATTGTAGAAATCCATCTCATCGACTACTTTCAAAGATAGCTATAAAATTCAGTATAACCGTTAGAATGATTGAAGTCAAGCCGAAGTTGTTACGTCAGAGCCATATGTACGTTTCGGAGATGTTGCCCGCTTTATCAGCGGTCCATGTTCCATACTAAACCCTGCTTTATAGCAGGAATGGGGCGACGTTGTTCATGGTGACAGCATACAATGATGTGATGTCATCAGTTTTTCACCTGTATCACCTGTCGTACCGTTGATCGTCGAGTGACTCGAGCGGGTACCAGCAACTCTTACATTTTTCCCTATCGCGTGCAAGAGTGGCCCAGTGGGTCCTCCTTGCTCTAGGGATTCGCTGAGCACCATATCTTTCTTCTATCGCTTTCGTGAAGAAATCGGGCCAACGGGTCAGTGGTCTTCCTTTAAAGCGCTTGACGTCCCGAGGAATCCAGTCGGTAACGGCTCTTGCCCATAGGTTGTCGTTGAAACGCATCACGTGTCCGGCCCACCTTATTTTCGATATCCTGTCGTGTAGAACGTCTCTTTCGGGGTCAGGGGAATGAGGCCCATATTTGTTGCTGTTTTTGGCATTTCGATACCCAACGTATAGCTTGCCAGGCTCTAACGTGGGGGCTGGGTACTCACGAGTATCTTGCCAGTCTCTCTCAGAGGAGCGGGAGGAGCTTATTTGTTGGAGGCGACTCCTAACCGCCTCCCATGTACTTCCCAGCCGCTTGATTGCAGACTTTTGGCCGACTTGACTCGTAGAAATAGAGTTTTTGTCAAGTAGGCGCTGCAAAAGCAGGGAGCTCGTCCCCTGAATCCACCTGCGTCTCTGGGAAGCACACGGTCGCTTTTGGCTCGCGTTTTATTCCCCTATCCACCACCTGGGGACGCGCCACGTGCCCTCGCGACTAACCGGGCGGTATCCCTCAAACACGGAGGTCCATGGCATCAGTTTTTTGGTCGGTGAAATTTCGACTTTGAGTTGACTACTACATATTGCCATATTTTCACTTCATAGGTTGTGGGTCAAATTGAAAAATACGACTAGCACTTCAATTTCTTTGTTTGAGAGGTCATAGTCGCTCAAACAAGTCTGTTTCCGTAAAAGTGAGCATAGTTTTACGAGCGCAGCAACCAAAAAACATGGTCGATGGTTGTAAAATGTCCCTCAGAGGTAATGAAATGGTAAAGAATTCTGAACCAAAAAAAAGCTGGACTAGAAGTTGGAGTTGTACAGGTTTGGAGGAGCACCCGCGTTACACCTGGTGAGACCCTTCTCGTCCGCAAGATCAAGACAGTCATTACTTGTTACAGAGAAAGTCTTGATGAGCAATATTTTGTAAGGATTTCACACAGATTTCCTCCATAGCGACGTTGTTGTTAGAGAGGATTGAAACGCCGTCATGACGCTTTTCTCCGCGCAGTATGCGGCTAATGAATCGGCCCCGAAGGTTAAAAGCAACGATCCGGTCAGGATTTTATCCAGGCCATCAGACTTTACAGAAACGTGGTCGGGTAGAGATGGTTGAACTAACTCCATCACTGAGCATGAGAATGGAATGTGAAACTCGACAAAGCTGTAACAACGTCGAGAAGAGGATTAATAGTTTGAAGAACATCTGGCATTGTGCTCACTTTGTTGTCTCTGCAATATTTTCTTGTTCAACCCTTTCCGGGCGACAACATAGTTGATATCGCACGTGACGCACGATATTCATTGCTTGATAAGGATTTTCTCTTTGTTTCGAGAAAACCTTTGAGTTTTAGTAGTACTCTGATAGAACTTGATCGTTTCTGCGAGCTTGTTACTTTCTGTGCATACATAACTCTTGTATGCGAAAAACTCTTAATAAGAAACGTAATTTTATTTCCACTCCTACAACGCATCATAAAGATATTCTCAAAAACCAAATATAGCTTCGGAATCGCCGCGATTTACAGTACTGAATAAGTACTGGTACAGTGTCATAAAAAGCGACGCACAAACCTTAATAATCCAAAGAAAGCAGATCTAGTGTGAAAAATTATTTTGGCCTAGAAAGATTGCTGTTAAAATGGGCGTCGGTAGTGCAACGGTCCAAGCACGCGTCCCGGAAAGGGTGAAATATGGGTTCGAGTCCCAACTGACGCAGAAGTTTTGCACATCACTCTACATTACTGGGTATATTATTACATCATACCACCATCAAAAATATATGTATTGAAGTGGTTTATACGGTATTTCAACTATGAAAGAGAAATGTTAAATGAACTATTAGCGCGCATGTCGTTCGATTATTCTAGAATCGCTCTCAGGCTAATGGCATTCACGACGAGGTCACCATCATATATAAATATATATATATATATCTGTACTTGAGATATAATCTGTTTTACAAATCGGGATCACATCTATCTTATAAACAGCGTTAAGCATTCAACAAGACTTCTGCTTAAAATAGTAATGTAGTAGGTGTAAAATAACAAAGGACCTAAACAATATCTGTGGCGTCTCTACTCAACTCCTATCTGGGAAAACGACGAAACATGTCACTTGCTTAGATCATTTGAGCACAAAAATTTTAATGGCTGACTGAATAAGCCCTTGTACAAAGTACATGTGAAAACTTTGTCTTCTAATCGTGGTATTTCAATTAAGAAATTACTGCATTCTTTCAGAGAGTATGCCAATGCACTGCTGCCCCATTGAAAGGTGTGTTTAGAGAGGGAGAGAGATGCACCAATCTACACCTACAGATGTTGACCTTAAGGATAAATATCCACCTGTGAGATGACTTGCCGTCTTCACAACTGAAAACACAATATTCATAAAAACCCTTTGTTTTCAAAGAAAAGAAGGTCTGTGTAAAAACAATGAAGACGATGACCAAGTGAGAAAACTGAAGAAAAACTTCTGACATGTACTTCAGAATAACACGCTTACAAATAGCTTCTGAAGTGATGGTGTTGTGGACCTTACTAAATGCCTATGCTGATTAAGAGGCGGGTATGATCCCAATGTAGAATGGATTAGGCTCATTGTTACTAACACATTAGTAAATGCATTCGAAACGTAACTACGTGTAAGAAGGCACAAATGGCTCCCAGCGTTCATGGTGTTCGACTGAGTAAACTGTAAAAACAGAGAAGCCTAAATGCATCTGGCAGGTTACAGACTCACAAAGACCTGCATGTGAAGATGTCTACTGCTGCATTTGGCGAATTGTTAGATTTTTTCAGGCTTTAATCAGTTGAGGGAATAATATGTTTTGAGCCATCAAGATCCAAGTGCTATACGGGCGCCTAAATTATCCTACAGGGATTCATCGATAGCACCGCCGTCGGCTCAGGCGATCTCTTGAGGCTATGCTCCTCTATAAAGGAATCGACACCGAGCAATAAATAATGAGAAGTAGATGATCGTTTAAGCAAGGTCTACAAAAGAGCGGTCGAATGGAGAGTTTTAACCAGTGACAAAATATAGAAACTTCTTGAAGCGAAGAAGATGACTGTCTCGAAACGCAATGAAAATAGTGCATTGATGGCACGGATGACTATGAGCAAGAATTACATTGTCTTTTCATAGATCAAACCCCTCAAGTATCAGCGACAAGCATCAGCAAAACTTGCCTTGATGTGAAAATTACCACTTCAGCTCTGCTCTGAGTTGTGAAGAGAAGGAAATGTTATAACGCCAGCAAAAGCGAATGATTGATATAAATTCGTGCCGACAAAATTTGAAAACCACACAGCTTGTCTACTAAAAGTCTCGACTGTCCTGCTAACAGCAATCGGTAAAGCTCCACAGAGTGAAATTTTCTTGCCTTTCGGCAGCATGAATTAAGATCAAAATAATGCTAAGGTTCACAAATCATTCTGGCCAATTTAGTGGGCTGTAGGAAAATTTTACGTCAACCGATATCGGTCGGTTTGTATTCTGAAAGTGCACACAGGGTACATTCACGCAATAATATGACTATGTGGAAAAGAGGAAATATTTTCAAACAAACAAAACAAAACTATTCTTTGTTGGCTCAATAATGAAATTGATTGAAAAGTGTAGCAAAAAAGCAGTTGAAAATTGCATAAAAGGGACAGTTGATGGAAGAAAATATCACTCCAAAAATGGTACTGCTCTGGCTTCTGATTACGGTATATTCTAAAATTATTATTCGCAATTACTCACACACCCACATGATCGCATACTTACGTCTAGCCAAATATCTTAGCTTTATCGTAACTGCACAAAATTAAGGACCGTTTCAGGTAGTTAGAATATGACTTGGCTTCTTCTGAAGGTTCAATGTTTCGAGACTAGTTTCTCCTAGAACGGTTATCATCTGGTATTATTTTTCACAGCTCTTCATTATAGCTGTGCTATGTTCTTATACTGCGTATTTAGAAATGCTGAGTGTTACGTAAAACTGTGAGCTTTATGAGAATAGAGTTGCAACGTTATAGCACTGATATATAAGCGGTGAAGAAAAAAATTCTCGTAGTGCACATGTATACGTAAAATAAAAACGTTCACAGAATATATATATATATATATGTATATATATGCTTGTATATGATATAGCTGTAAGTTCAACTGGATTCAATGTCAAAATGCACTTACCAGGTCGAACCCGCTGACCGCTGGTTTGCTGACAGTTTCGATACCTTAGACCGCAGAAATGAGAAAGATGGCCTCGGTGTTTTAGTGGTAGCACGCGCCCTTGTTATAGGTGCATTCAACTCGCGCCTGAAATCCGCAATTTTGGATATCAGTCATCATTTCCGGATAGCACAACTCTTTCAAAAGCTTTTACCACTTATATCATTTATAGATGACATGGGAACTCAGTACTTTCGAATGAAACTAATTCACTGAAAGTGAACTTTTTTCATTTATTTATCTGAGAAATAACAATCTCAATAGTAGTAAATACTTTCAGACCTACGTCTTCGTAGTCCTGGACGCAGCAAGTGAGTTTCATTCAAATAGTCAACGTAGATAATGTTCTCAGCACTAGGATTCCTTATAGTGTGTCCGGATAGAGATAACACCGATGAAATGCGTAACTTGTATTTGAAGTACCATAATGATGCGCGATCACGACTGGCAAAAGGGAAAGAGCGTGGTCTTAATCGCCGACTTGGACCAGCTAAAAACATCTACAAATTGGTAGGCCGCTTCAGTTTTTGATCTCACAACTTTCATAGATGTGCTTTTCTTTCAGAGCTGGAGCTGTGAGTTAGAAAAGATAGCAAAAGAGCTTGCACAAGGTTGTGGTAACGGCTTTACACGACACCTATCGTATGGACAGAACAGACAGACGTGAGTGACCTATAGAACAATGAAGCATTAATACTAGCAAACTAATGACCTTGAATGGATAAAAAATGCATTGAATGTAGACATTTTTTTCGTTGCCACAAATTAGTGGGATAAACTACGATTAAGCTACGATTCCTGTCGTATCATGTCGAACGACGAAGATCTATTGTAATTTTGTGGCACGTGCTGATGCGCAAAAGCGTGAGGTTTACATGTTACTTGAGGGCGTGGTATTGAGCTATTCAAACACTTTGACAGAGGGCTCTCGTGGTCATTTTATCCGCGATTTTCAGCTCAGTTTCTGTCTTATATTAAGTTTTCAAACTTCAGCGCCATTTCTGAATAACCGATGATGCAGAAATCTTTCTCAGTCTCTGAATTTTCAGATTTATTGTTTATGGAGCAATTAACGTGAAAGAGCTCATCAAACAAGCACTTGATAATTGGTGGGGCGAAGTGAAGAACTCTTACGTACATCAGGACAACAAATATGATCCTTCATTGTTTAAATTTTCAAGTGTGAGTTCTAATTTGGCGTTGAAATTGCTATCAAGCACTCTGAATGACGATTTCAGATGGCCCACTATAAAAACACTGAACTTGGATGTGCCCATGTAATCTGCCCAGAACCTCCTTTCTCTAAATTACAAGTACTATGCGTCTACAAGCGACTGTTGGTTTTTAGTCTCAATACGCTCATATATCGTGTTCCATTTCTTGCAATTCAGAACAATCATGAACTGATATTTAGTGGTTTCGTGGACAACTCTACCATGTGGCGCAACGGAAAGTACTGTCGAGTTGGTAGCGATTGCACCATTTTTCCCAATTCAACATGTGAAAACGGACTATGCGTTCGGCCGAAAGTGCAGCCAGGTAAGAACACAACAGAATTGCACACTAGCAGAGTTAGGTGATTGTGAAGCTGCAACGCTTCTAAAATTTAATGAAGACGAATCAATGCTATGTATTACATCAGTGCTCAATATTTCAAATGAGTCATATGGATAAAGCGTTGTTAAATGCTATGCCATGATTGTTTTATCTTTGCTTCTCGTATTAGTTTGACGAAAATTTTTAGATAGTGGAGCATCTCAGATTTGTAGAAGTGACGGAGTAATGACCGATGCAGTACGAAATGCCTTCCTGGATATGCATAACTTTTATAGGTTTGTGTTGAGTTGATATGCAGACTAATAGAGAGCATTTTCTGATCCGTCACTTATTTCATTCGCTTCGTCTCTTTCAAGCCGTCAGTGACTATAGCCTTCAAACTTTGCGCACATCTCACTTAACACGGTTAGCACAACGGTAGTAAAGTCGTTCAATAATTGCAAGGTCCTGAAATGGCACGCACAAGACGTGCTAAGGATCGAACTTTTGTACAACAGCTGCATGTAGTGAACCTCAAAAAAAACATTATTCATATGGCAAGCTTTTACGCATACGAAGCCCAACTTTTGCGCATAATAGATTTAGAAAAACGATTAAAAGGAAAAGTCTTGAGATTTGCACGACATATGACGTAGGGTTTTATCAAATTGCACATATCTGAACCAGTGAGAATTGCTCCCTCATTCTGCTCTGGTAGTACAGTTTTCTTCCTCATGGATTATCAATCTCATAATCGGAATATTGTTCACCCTACTCTAATATTTCGTCAGCCCTGGATAAATGGCGATAGCGGGAGATTGTGTCCCTTTAAATCGTGACCGCGATAAATTCCGCACTACAAAAAAATCGAAAATTTTTTCTACCAAACAGGTATTTTTTCTCATACAATCGGCATGATGATCATGAAGTGAACGCAAAATAAATGAGTGGACGAATTC